CACATCAAACTGATCTAACATTGTATTTTTGTAAAAATGTAATATTCATAGAAAATATCGTAAATTTTGTGAAAAATACTATTTCTTTATGTTTATTCGAAAGAAGAGAAATAAATTGAATAATATTTATATTAAGAAGTATACTACATGTAAAGATAATCTATTTTTTACTTAAGGTAGCTGCTACATACAATGATAGTCCCACTACATGTATACTACAAGCTACTTGTCAATGTTTAAGCATAATTCTTATGCATATGCTGAGTTAATTTACCAAGTCAAATATATTTAATAATATTTTTTAAATAATTATTTAATTTCCACAACTAATCGTCATTTATTATGTATGAAAGTATTAGAAACAACATGCAAGTCATTTTCTTTTTATGTAATTTTCTTTTTAATTTAGCTTTACAAAGAAATATGATTATTTATATTTAATAATTCATCGTAATTCGTAAGTAATTACTCAGAGAAGAAGAGGCTTTGTTTTACAGTATATCAAGGAGTCCTAAAATAATTAAAGTTTTCTATCTTATCGATCAGTTTCTATTGACACTCTTGCTATAAAATACGATTCGTTTTATAAATAATTATTTTACTGATCTTTATATAATTCATTCAATTTTACAACTGCGTGTGTGATTTACAACATATCGTAGAAAGAGTAAAAAAAGAAGATGAAATTTTACTAATCTTTTATCCTATTTTAGATTTTTCTTCTTGAGCTCAAAATTATGTCGTTAAATTCAATCTTAATTGGTTCTTTAAAACGGTATAATTGTGCAGCAATACTTCTTTACTAATGAGATAAGTATTGATCTTATAAATTAGGTTAACTTGCTACAGAGTTGAGAATCTCTTGTTGCTGTTGTCAAAAATCCAATTTATCTTAGCAGTACCAGTAATTGATGATTAATATTTTACATTTATTAATGACTCAAGCAGAATCTACAATAAATTGGTGTTTATTCTACAAGAACAATAAAAATGGTCTATAAGTAACTCCCATTATTTTGAAATTGTATTCATTGAATTTGAGGTATTTGACATTAACGCATTTAAATTTACCGCCAAGAAGAAATCTTCTTTAACTACGCTGCGTGCTGCAAAGTTTGTAAATACCGTTAACCAACATAATCTTTTATGAGCGCCAGAACGTTCACTCCGGAATTCATCCCCACTTTTTCAGAGCGCTAGGGTGGCAACGGTGAGCCAATCGTCTCTGAGTCTCTCGAGCGATACAAGTAGATCGAGCGCTTATTGGTTTCGGGCAGCTGTTTCTCCCGTTCTCGAAAAGTAGGGGTATATTTCGGGAGAGCAACTCGAAGGCCTATATAAAGGTACACTTGGCTGCTCGAAGGCTATCTAGTTACTCTGTAACATAGCTTTCTAACGTTTTCAAATTATCAACCTCCACTAAAATCATGTCTGGACGTGGCAAAGGTGGTGGCAAAGTTAAGGGAAAGTCCAAGACTCGTTCGACCCGTGCCGGACTTCAGTTTCCAGTAGGACGTATTCACCGTCTTTTGCGTAAAGGTAACTACGCTGAACGTGTCGGTGCTGGTGCTCCGGTCTACCTTGCCGCCGTTATGGAGTACTTAGCTGCTGAGGTCCTGGAGTTGGCCGGTAATGCTGCTCGTGACAACAAAAAGACCAGAATTATTCCCCGGCATCTACAACTGGCCATCCGAAATGACGAAGAGTTGAACAAGCTGCTTTCTGGTGTAACAATTGCCCAGGGTGGTGTCCTGCCTAATATCCAGGCGGTTCTTTTGCCCAAAAAGACCGAAAAAAGCTCGTAGATTTTTACTTTCTATTATAAACAAACAGTCCTTTTTAGGACTACAAAACTCTTCAAACGTATTTGAATTATTAAATTTAAGTCATTCTCTATAACTGGTTTAGTCTTTAGAAAGTGGTCGTAAACGAGGCAAAGACTAGCCATGCTCGTCTCCTGGAAAAATCCAAGGAAGGAACTGCAGAAGATAAAGGTCAACGGAGTAGAAATCGACTGGAGTTACTCCACCAAGTAGTTCGGCGTAATGCTAGTCCGCCGACTCACGTACGTTCGGCACATCAACAACACACGCGGCAAGGCATACGGAGCCTTCGTGCAGCTAAAGCCCTTCTACAACAAAACAGTCTCACAGAAGACCAAGCTGCGCACCTTTAATGCCATAATCAAGTGCATCAGCACCTACGCGATACAAACGTGGGGCGCTGCAAAGGGAAACCGACTACAGGGCATCCAGGGCTCTTTCATGAAAATACTGAGGTCGGTCCTGGGTATTCTGTGGTACATCAGGAATACCCAGATTATCAAGGAGTTTAACATCGTCCCTCCAATACAAGCGGCCCCCGTCCTTGCGTCTGAAGTCCGCGCCTCCATTACGGACCACCCAAACCTCAGCAACGCCGCACTCGTGAATCTTCAACCCGGTCGCTTCGACCTTACAAGACGTCCCTGCGCTCTAGCACAGAACCCCGAGGACCCTCAATACACTCTAGGTCTTCAATCCCCCCTGCTTCCATCGGATGCATCATCTCAATCTCCATGATCTCGACGAAACGATCGCGACTTCAATTCGTGCGCTCCCTTCAGGAGCACCCTTCTATCCGCCGTATCCTCTACGGCCTCAACCCTATACAACACTTACACTAATCACAAGTACGCT